AGAGAGAGAGAGAGAGAAGTTGATAGACAGAGTAGATGTATTTGTAACATACGTTGTGGCATTTTTTGATATGGACATTGCAACGTCTTTATATAGAGAGAGTGAGAGAAAGACTAGTATCCTATATTTGAGTGAAAGGAAAAGGAGTTTAATCCCACATCAGGCATATGAGAGAGGAAAAGGGAGCCAAAGCCCTTTAAATAGGCATCATACCAAAGAAAGCCCATCTACAGTTGATGACACCACTTTCACTATACGGTGGGGCCCATGTAAAGAACAAGATATAAAAATAAATAATTTTAAAAACAGAAGAAACACAAAATATATTAAAAAGGGGTGAATGGGGCTGATTTTCTGACATCACCTACTAGTTTGATGGCATCACTAGCAGATTCTGTCAGAGAACCGGTTAGAACAGGCCGTGTCGTCGGGGGAACTGGCCGGTTCTCAATATTTATCTGGAAAAGTCCCCTACGATTCCCAATCAGTATAAGTCGATTCCGATCCACATCAGCGATTTTTAAAACACTAGCAGGTTCCAAAGTAATCTAGCTGTTGAGCATTGGAAGGCAATAAAAAAAATTCTGTGATATTTATAGCGGACCATTAATCTTGCGCTCATTTATCAAATAGGCTTACACATACAGATACAGATTATGGTGATCTTGATGAATTGAAGAATCCAGGTATTCACACTTGCCAATGGAGTTGTTCCTGGTGCTCAAGGAGACAGGATGTCGTTGCACTCTTGATTAAGGAGTCGGAGCATGTGGCTTGTTGTCCTCACAGCTAAGGAGGCGGTTTGGTTGAAGAAGTTCTTGAATCAGCTTAGATTTGATGCAGTAAAGTTCTTGTGTGTAAAGATCTTCTACGATTTGTGTGGCCAAAGAGCTATGATTGCAAGTAACTGGGGCACATTAAGGCGGACTATTACCATATTTGCCGACGAGATCCGAGCAGGAGAGATCAAGGTTGCTTATCTCTCGATAGGGATTATGATAGAATGTCCTTTGACAAAGGGATTGGTAGCAAATATATTTGCTAAACATGTACATGGAATGGGCTTGAGAGAGAGAGAGAGAGTGAGAGATTTACGACTTGCAAAGGCCAAGTGGGAGATGTTGGGGATTGTAGCCTTTAAAGCCTTGTGAGAGCATGTAAATAAATAGTTATAGTGGATTATACACTTTAGTGAGAATGTGAATGTTGATTGATTGGTTTAGGGTTAGGCGCTCTATGGCCCTGGTCATGTCCAAAACCCTTTAGCCTTAGTCATATGGCGCTACTATAGAGGGTTGCGTGAGGGCCATTGCTTATTGAGGTTAGAGAGATGGCTAGGTATAGTTGGTAGGCTAGGAGAACTTCATAGTCTCTTGTGTGCTGATGTAAGCCTGTGAGAGCAAAGACTAAATACTCAACAAACTTTCGCACATGTACGCAAGATAGCCGCAGATTGGGACTGACCCTGCAAAGGTTTACATTTATATGTGCATAGAGATAATTCCCCGTGCACTATAGTGATATGTGTGTATAACTTGCTCTCAAGGGGGAACCTGTAATTCACATTTCGGGATTGTGGTTTCACTATTTGTTGTCTAGCTTTGATGAGCCAATCATGCGTCTTGGGTCTCATTGGGTTAGTTTGAAAAGATAGTTGAGGGTCATGGTTATTAGGTTGGGTGGAGTGCCCAGACAATCATTTTTCTTGATCCATTGGTACCATTCCACTTACAGAAATTTTGTTTTTAATATTATAAATGTTTATGGAATTTTAGAAATTATTAAAATATTTTTCAGCAATAAAAACCCTAAACGGGAGTTTTGTAAATTCCAAAATATTTTTCTAGGGGCATGATGGGACCCATGTGGCGGACCAAGGGCCCAACACACATGTTGGCAAACCCCACTTGGGTGTGGGACGTGGGGCCCATTTGGCCCACATCCTAGCCTAGTGAGAACTCCCATATCTTTTCTTATGAAAATCTTTAAAAGAGATTTAGCTTCCATAATTTGTGTGAGTAGAGAATATTTCATGTTTGTAAAATATTCTTCCTTATCTTTGTTTTTGACCAAATCTTTTTGATTTTGAATTCCTACATTTTCTTTATGAGAGAAGAGGAAGTTTTAGCGAAAATAGATGATGAGATTTACTTAGTCTTCTCCTAGTTTCGACTAGAAGTGGATATGGGTTAAAGATTTAGGGGATAAGGTTCTTAGGATCCTCCTTAAATCGTGATGGCTGATTCATAGAATGGATGACTCAGATTTGCTTGTTTTGCACTGCACAAATTACCTAGGACTTTTATGGCCAAGATGAATTCTAAATGAGATAGGCATACCAAGATCCACCTAGAGGCTATAAATAGAGGGTAGGTCTCCTCTTTCTCAGCATCTGAACTTTTGGCCTCTCTCTCTCTCTCTTCCATGCCTCTCTCTATCTCATCTCTCTTTAGTCTCTCAAGGGGTGGCACACACCACCCTATAAGCCCTATGGGGGTGGCATTCTACCCAAGGGCTCATAGAGGGGCACATCCAGGCCACTTTAGAAAGTACTAGGATGCTCTAAGAATCGCAAGGGGTTATCGAAACCTTAGATCTAGCGTATGCTCTCTTAAACCCCAGATTTGAAAAAGGTAGTGTCTAAAGGAGATATATAAATAAAAAAAAATAGATTTTTTTTTTTACTCCGTCGAATTCCATAGAGCTACTTCTTTCAGACAAAAGGTGATAAAACCCAAGTTCAATTTCCCGCAAGAAAACAATATTTCTCTGGCGAGAGTTGCGTCAAAGGAGCTGTTCCGAAAGCTAACAAGGAATGGGGCCACATGGATGTGTCCAATGGCTCTCTGTCCCCTGTTATGTTTAATGGTGAGAAAATATTGCCCCTCGCTAGACACATTTCATTTTTTATAGTTTTGTATAATTTAAACTCTTGTTTTACCATGATCAAATGAAAATTACATCATAAATCATAATATAATACTCCATAATAAATCATAATATAATAATTTAGTCCCACTGATAATATCCCAATAAAACTTTCCACCCATGATGACCCAATAACAGAATTTGTTTCTAATATTTATTTCTAATGTCTCTTTATCCTTCTTTTTTGTTTGCTTGTACTTTTGACATAGTTGAGTTGGAAGTAGTATGTCTCTTTATAGGTAAGCAAATAAAGCATTCTTAAACCCTAAATTTGTTTAAGTGTTATGTAACTGATATTGAAGTGGTGTATTGTTCTAACTTATCTATGTTGTATGTTATAAACATTTAGATGTAACACCCCTATCTCCTTCCAACTAGTTCCTTCTCTCTCCTTACTCCCTCTTGTTTCCTTCCTTTGATACTAGACACAAGTCATAATTCACAAAATGTGTAATGTTATGAATTGCAAAATATGTACGAAATTTTGGTGTATTCAGAAAGTTTGTAGATCATAAAAAATTGAAGATCCACGCAACATTGGATATGAACCAAAACAAACATGCCCGGGAAAGGATACTCAATTCTGAGTTGGTGTAATCGCGGTTCTGCTCAATCCTGGAACCTTGATTTTGGGCATTATGGATTTGGATCCCATTAAATGGGATTGAGTTTGTTGATTTTCCAAGTCGAGATCCCAAATGTCAATGAATTGCACATAGTAGAGATCCTTTGTTTTGGATAGTAGGATCGAACTTCAAGAGAGGAAGCGACCCCCTTCTTAGAAGGTCCCGATAACTAAGGTTGATACAACAAGGCATATTGTGCAATGGGTGAGGTTTGCATAAGGTACCCACCTTATACAATACAAATAAGGGGCACCTCTAAATTTTCCCGGAAGATGTGGTTCCGTTGTCAGAAATCTTATGATGACTTGAAAATCCATGCTCAAACCCAATTATGGAATTTAAAATCCCAAAAATGTTGCAGATTGATCAGATCTGTAAACACTTGAGAATCTTGAAAATTGACTATTCAGATAAAACTTGTTACAAGATGCACTATTCTAGGACTTGAAATTCTTTTTTTTTCCCTCCCTATATCCATACATCTCAAGGTCGAGATGATCAATTGGAAGGTTTCCCAACTTTAGAGTACTCTTTTTCTACTGATTTGAGGTGCACCTTGCTTCTACACTATAAGGTTGAAACTTTATATAGACTTTGGTTGCAACTTTGTATAGACTTTTTCCTTCTTTAATTTGTACCTATTTTATATGTGTAGTTTGCTTGTAGTGGTACCCTTGCACATGTGCATCTTTTTGGGTATTCTCCACGAAATGAAAGATTTCAAGAGAAGCAAAGAATGACAAGATATGAATGCAGTCCATATTTGTTCACATTTGCCCCTTGTATTCCTTCTGTTTGCATATCATAAATCTGTTCTGCATTTTCTCACTTGTCCTTTCATTATATTCTCAGTGTTTTGGCATGAAACAATGTCAATTCCCAAGCATTGGCTGTCTTTCTATTGTAAGCTTTCTGAAATTTACTGGTCTCCTTTTATTCAGGTATATATGACCAATTTGCAAATGCTTTTGCAAAGGGTGTTGAACAACTGCAAGTTGGCAACGGATTTGCAGAAGGTGTGGCCCAGGTATTGCTTCCTTCAGTTTTCTTTATTAGTCATTCAATGTATACACAGCTCCTGAACTTGTTCGTCTTGGAATGTATCATGCATTGTGTGTTTGTGCGTTTGTTACATTCCATCCTAATCTGACAACATTACATGGCTATACTTTGGCAGTCTTTAATATTCATTCTTCTCTTTTTTTGTTCCATTCTTTTTTATGGATAGCCGATAATTCATCATCTTATTCTGGTTTCTCTCTTTCCTGTTATAGGGTCCATTAATCAATCAAGCTGCTGTCGAAAAGGTAATAATTGGTCTGTTATTGTGAAGGTTTTACTTATGGTGTATACCATGTGTCATGTCTGTCAAGTGAGGAGTGTATTCTGGATTCTGTTGTTTCTTGGATGAAATCGTTGCATTTTAGCTTAGTGCCTTCTACAAGGAATTGAAGTGATGCACTGAAAGATTTTGGCTTACCCTTTTGCTACTGTTGCACAGGTGGAGTCACATATTCATGATGCTCTCTCAAAGGTAACTTTTCTATTGATATTGTTTGTAAATGTTTGCCTGCCTTGCTCATGTTCTCTGTTCTTGATGGTACCACTAAATACTCATTTCCTATACTGTAAGAGATCACCTTCGTGAATTGCCACACAATAATTGAAACCTGAAGCTTTAATCTTTTAGCATTTTGTCGAGCCATCGAATGATGGTCCTTGTGCTTGTTTACGTCATAACTTGAGAGAGTGCTGTTGTACCCAATATTTCTGTAATGTTAAACAAAATGAAATGTTGGAAGGATTCCTAGCCATTACCCTTGAAAATGTACAAGGGAAAATATCAATAAAATGGTCAAACCACCTTAAAAAGTTCAATTAGATGGTTCAATCAACTAATTTACCGACAAAGTGGTCACCTTTTATAAAACATTTCACTTAGGTGCATCCACGATTAATTTATTAGAAAATGCCAAAACTGCCCTATCCCTAGTTTGGAACCCTAAACAAATGAAGCTGTTTGGTAAATCATTATCTCCCCATCCCTATTTTGGAACCATGAACTAATTTTGGTAAATCAATATCCACTTAAAGTTACACAAGCCAAATCACCAAAAAATACCCCTTCTTTTCCCAGGCTCTGAGCCTGGAATATATTTTTTCTCATTGAAAAAATCTCATATGTGTTTGGAACCTTGAGCAAGCAAGGGTATTTATATCTTTTGGCTTGGGTGACTTAAGTGGGGTGAAATCGCGAAGGAGTCCTTGCTTACTCTAGGTATGAATCCAGGAACATTGTTTAAAAAAACATTGTTCAAGTTTGGAAGTCAGAATAAATTAGGTATTTAGGTCATTTGGCTCAAGTGACTTATGTGGGTCAAATGATCAGAATGCTCTCACTTGTTCAGGGTTACAAACCTAGAAAAAGGGCAATTTAGGCATTTTTAGAAAACAATTCTTGAGGAGGTCCCGAAATAAAAGGATTTTTATAAAGTAAATATTTTCTTGGTGAAATTGTTGATTCAACGGCGTATCATTGTTTTCTTGTGGTAGTTTGACCATTATATTGTGATATTTCCCTAAAAGAAAAAAGGATCCACCAGCGTATTTATCTTTTCTTCATATTTGATTCGACTCTTTCTATTCATTGGGACTTCAGATTTTCAAAAGTTATATTAGTCAAATCATTTCATCTCTTATAAGTGCTCTGGAGAGTGTCACACAACTGAGAATTCCAATGATTTCTGTGGTCTTTAAGGTTGACTAAATCCTTATTATGATCATGATCAGCATAAAGTTTAGTTAGTAATGTTTTCTTTCCATTAGGATGTTTGGCTTGCAAAAGCCTCGGCCCTTTTTGAATTCTTGAAGACCAAAAGCCCTGGACTTTGATGCTTTTGTATTGAAACACTGAAGTTATGCTGTGGCATATTGTTAGCATCTGGATTTTACTGGCTTTTATAATGGACTGCTACATGTTCGATATAATAAACTCGTCCATGTTATGGATGTTTTTACCTCAAGTGGCAATGTTTCACGACTTCTTCCTTCCACATTTCTTTGATAGAAATGTCAAGATTTGCTGATTTGGAAAATGAAATATAACTACAAAAAAAATTCAGCACAAGGTCCACGTCCATCTGAGAATTATGGAAGCACAAACGAACACTGCATTCTCTGGGCTCTAGTGCCATGAGAAAATCTATACGCAGAATTAAAGTGATTTATTGATTCCTAAAGGTGTTTTACATGAATGCACAAATGCATCCGACCAGTTGATTTCCATGTCAACAAAATATTGATACATTTGTTGTACAAAGAGACATTCATTACTGAAATACATTCTAACGATGACATTTTTGCCCTGTTCCATTAGCACAGCTTGTATGAAGCATGTTTCCATTGACAAGACACGATAGGTGTGAGATTCATCAGAGTTCCCTATATCAATTACTTATTGCCAATCCAGTTCATCTTGATATATCTTATGTAGGAGCTAGGTAATTTGAGAAGAAACACATAGGGATGACCATGGGGACTGCTTTCTTTGAGGTTTTATCTTGTATTATACAAAGAGGCATATTCACCACTGAAATGCATTCTAATGATGACATTTTTGTCCTGTTCCATTAGTACAGCTTGTAGGAAGCATGTTTTCATTGACAAGACAAGATAGTGTGAGATTCATCACTGTTCCCCATATCAATTGCTGGTTATGAATCCTTGTTCAAGTTGCTATATCATATGTAGGAACTAGGTAATTTGAAAAGGAACACATAGGGATAGCCATTGGTGACTGCTTTCTTTGAGGTTTCATCTTATGTTATGTACGTGTACATGAGGGCTGTTTTGTTAATTATTTTTCTTTGAGCCACTTGGACACCCTATCAAGAAATCATGCGATTCCATCAATCCACAATGATTGGCTACACATGGTCTGGGTGAATGGTCATTAGTCTTAACTTAATTCTAAGTTCTAACTCATGCACAGAGATAGGCACTATTTATGTTCCACTCACTAATTTGCTAAAGCACAGGCAGGTGTTTCTCTGCCCCGTTGACTATCGATGAGAGCGCCACTGTAATCCATTCCAAAGCAAATTACACTTCAAATAGTTTCTTAGTTGGACATTTGAATATAAGGGGCAGTCTCTCATTCTTATCACCTCTTGCCCATGTTCTGTTTCAAGTTTTTTTATCCTGTATCCTTGGTAGTCTATCTTACCAGGATTCTTTTGTCTGGGCAACTTACTGTTGTCAAGAGATGTTAGCAAAGGTACCAGACTAATTCTTCTACAAACCTTCCAAACTGAAGAATCCTAGTAGTTCTTCAATAATCTTCTTATTCTTCATGTGAAATGTCAGTTCTTTTCTTTGGTTCTTGGTTCTTTCCATGAAGAATCTTGAAATAAGAATTTTATTGACACACTGATAACTTTAATTTGGCTCTTCTGGCATTATCTTATGAGGTCTTTTAAGTCATCACTTCCAAGAATCGATCATTTACACATTTAGTTTTTTAACGTACGATATATTTGTTATAAAAGAGGAAATGAACCGTATATACTATGAGGTACTTCAGCCTTGGGCTCCCATTTGTATTAAATTAAAAAATTTATTGAGGTAATGCACCACACCTGAGCTCTGCCCATCCTAATCTTGGAAGCTCCTAGCAAATCTCACTAGATTCTTCCCAGAAGTAAAGTCATCAACTTTTGCTTCTTTGGATTCTCTACTATTTAAGATTGCGCATGATTATAGTATTCATTCACACATATGCACAGGAGTAGAAACAATTTCTTTTTTTTTATTTCCCTTCATTACCTGTAAACTGAAGTTTCATGAATTGCTATTGGAAATTTTACATTCTAAAAGAAAAAAATGATTGAAATTTTATAAATTTTATTCTTCTTTATGGGAAATTTTACATTCTAAAAAAAAAAACGATCGAAATTTTATAATTTTTATTAGCTTCTTGATGAGTATTATTTAACTCTCTTATATTCAATACTGTATTTGTTCATTTAATTGAATGATTGATTCATAATGTTGTGTATATAACTTTGTATTTATGAATGACTAATGTTTCTATATATCATGTCTCATAATAATTAGGGTACCTTTGAAATGTAAAATTCAGATACTTGAAATATAAACCTCTCAAAATGTTTAGGATATGGTAAAAGTCTCTTTTGTCGTCTTCATGGATGGTCATTGTCTTCTGCTTATTATGCTTGTAACTTTCTTGTCTATCCTTCACATGAAAAAGCATTTCTCTCCAAATATCAGACATAGTGTTCATTGTCAATGATTTATTGGTTTTTGGAATATAATGAATGATAAAATATGCGAATATTAGAAGAAATAAATTTACTGTTAGAAGGAATAAAACAATATTGCTTTCTTTGCTAGAAGTAAGCTGAAAGGCAATTGATTAATCCGTATGAAATGTTCAAACAAGCCTGTCAGTTTTCCCTTTTGGGTGCCATACTTGCTAATGTTTCATGTTTGATAACTAATAGGGAGCCAATGTGATTGTTGGGGGCAAAAGGCATAGTCTTGGTCTGACATTCTATGAACCTACTGTAATTGGCAACGTAAATACTGAAATGAAGATTTCCAGGTAGTATCTTGTGCATAGTGTTTTTCTTTGATACTAATTTACTTGGTTTTGTGTTTCCATTGTCAGTTTTGTGGTTACCATTCATTATACATTTATGTATGGATAGCAAATCCTGCCCATTTTTCTCTACCATCTATCCAAATTGGCATACCATTTTCACACATATGATGATTTATTATATTGCCCTTGTGGTCTCTAATTATAACCTCCAACCACTCCTTCACAATCATGGGCCACATGGTATCTAGAGTAGTACCTCACAAGAATTTGATTCTGTTACTAGCTAATGCACGAGTGTCCTTTAGACTTTTTAGTTTTGTATGGCAGAAAACAGTTAACAGAGTGCTGCATGAAAAATTAGTCGTGTCCATTTCAGAAGAGGCGAACCTGCAGAGATTCTTAGCTGCAACTTTTTTTATTATCAAGCTGTTACAAAATCTACTTCTCCTGCAAGAGTCTCTTGTCTATGAATTCACATTGCACTGTAAAAAATTGCAATTGTGACAATGGAGTATAATACAGTAAATACTACAGAGAAAATCACTACTGCCTTGCTGTGAAGTTTCTTATGTTAATTTATCACCGGTTAGGGCTTCTATACTAATAGATTGCAAATTTGTTTCTCATGGGAGTACCATCACATCTAAAGAATGTCCTAATTGTCCTAGATTAGCATATCTCATAAGATTACCTTTGTACCTTTAGCTTTGCTCATTTGATTTCTGAAAGCAGCAGCTTCTAAAGCCACCACTTCCAGAAACTGTAGCACCTCTCCGTTTGATTACAGGAAGTGCTACACAACTTTTGGAAGATGCGGCTTCTTGCGACATCCAAAACCACTGTTAAAAATGGAAAAAGCAACTTCCATAGGAGCCAGTAAATGTGGCCACAGCCCTCTTGGGAAGACTGAATTTCCAAAAGCCGCTCCTTGCCAAAACCAAACATGCCCTAGACGTGCTCTTATCTATGAATATGCCTGATACTGTTACCTCCTCGATATACATGCACTATAACATAAGATGTTTAAGCCTAATGTTAATTAGCACATCCATGTTCTGAAACTTGGGGCATATCTTCGATCTGTCTTCAAATTCAGGTGGGGAAAAGGGAGTATTTTAACTGTTTCTTCTGTGGTTAAATTGTCTCGATTTTTCAATTGTAACAAGTATTTTTAAATTTTTAAGATGTGGGAATTTGTTTCATTCTGACATGTTTACTCTGTAACAGGGAAGAAGTTTTTGGACCTGTTGCACCTCTTTTTCGATTTAGAACTGAGCAGGAAGCAATCGAAATTGCTAACAACACAAATGCTGGTTAGATCTATCCTATGTTACTCCTTTTTCCAATTTTTATGTCTACCTGCTTAGATCATGAGACAGCTTTTGACAAATCATAGTTTCTCAACATCCAAACTACTGCAGCATGCTTAAGAGTGCTGTTGTCAGGACTAGACCCATCTTTGAACTAGTTAGGGGCCGGTCTGATTAGTGGCTGAACTTGCTAGACCATTTTTCAAAAGCAAAACATAAAATTTCAGAATTGCACTAAAAGTAAATAAAAATAATCAGGAAAGGACAAATAAGGAAATATCTGATGGAAACAACAACATTTTTAAGAAACTTACATGAAAAATGGAATCACAGTTTTGCCATCAGCATTCATAATAGTGAATGTTTTTTATTCTGAATTTGCCAGATTTTAAGTGGGGATTGTGTGTTTGTGGAAGATAATAGATTAGAGAAAATCAAAATCTAAGGTATTGGCCTCTTGGGTATATAGTTTCTGGGGAAAACTAGAGAGCCTTAAGGGTAATAGGTTATTATAATCTTGAGAGAATAAAACATAATTAAATATATAATAAAAAATAAATGATGGAAAATTCAATTTTGGTTTCAAAATTGAGTTTTGGGAAGAACCTTTTGGGGCAAAGATAGAAGGCTTCAGAGGTTCTAGTAAAGTTATTGGGACTGGGAGTGGGATCGGAAGCAGGAGCGTGAGTTTGGGATCATGATAGGCTAGAAGCTTCCTATGGTCGGAATTGTTGTCCTTACGCCCACGCCCTGAATTGCAGGGATCTCGATCCCAACATGTTGGGGAGCTAGATCCCAACTATTGGTATAGCATGACAAACTCTAAAAGTCTGAGACGCATATGGTAAAAGCATCTCTTTTTCTCATTGAAAAATATATAGGATCTGATTTTGCAACGTAATTACTTTCTTTTTTAATGGTTATGGCTTGTTTCCTTCTAAAAGATCAATCTGACATGAATTATTTATGTTGACTGATCCTTGAGGGATTGGGATCGTGTTCTTCCCATGGGAGTGAAATCCACCCAAGGTCCAGCTCTGGGAGCATGGGATTGTTGGGGATTGCCTCCAAGTTGGGAGACCTTGGTAAATATGGGTTTTAGGTTAAGATTGGGGTGAGTAAATGATAAACAAACCAAACCAGAAATAAGAATGTGCTAGTTTAAGATCTAGCTTTTTGGGGTGATTGGTTTTTTGGGAAAAACAAGAGGGCTTTAAAGGTTCATGTTAGTACAATGGGCCTAGAGATGTGAGCTGGGAATAAGAACACAAATAAAACTGAAGAATGCGATCCCAAAGAATTTGAATTTTCTAAATGAAGCTGGCTGGAAAGTTAAATCTGACCATAGTGACAAGTCAAACACCAGTTTTGAGCATTATTGGGTGTTGGCCTGTTCAAAGACCTTACCAGACCACAGACCTTACTAGACCACCATAGGGACTGGTTCGTGGTGTGACCAGACAGTCTTGTGCTGTGTTAATAACCATGAAAAATAGTGATAGCATCCGGTGGACAGCTTCCTCTGGATGTTGGATTTGTTTTTCTGGCTAGATTGGGTATTGGATTTGTTACAGATGAAGGCCACTTCGCATGTTTTCCACAACTACATTGTACCCCATAAAAGCCCTTGACCGGCAGTAATTAGGTAACTGGTTTCGTGATCTTGATTAGGAAGCTGTCATTCTTTATATTTTTTCAGTGAATTTACAAACAAGTACCACCCCTTTTAGTTAGTTTATTCTGTTGTAATAGAGTTTCACTAATATCTGATGAAACTGGTTAGCTGAAGGCTTAATTGGTTTCTGTAATTTTGACGTTGCAGTCGAGAAGTAATCACTTAGGCATTCACCACTTGAGGATATGTGAAATCATCACCTGCAGAAACTCATTTATTTCACCACTTGGATCTATAAATTTCTAATGCTTGTTCCTAGAATATGTTGGGCCCAAGATCCTGTTTGGTAGTGTATACAAGTTCCAACTGTGATCCAGAATTGTGAAAGCATTTGGGTATTGAGAATGTTATGTCATTGCATGAGCATTGCCAGACCCCCACCCCAGGGCTTCTTATGGTTGTCAATATGATGCATGTGGTATTCTGTTCTCCACATCCTGGGAAATGTGTGTCAAACCAGCTGAATCTGTTTATGCAGAAATAGAAATCCCAGTCATGTAGCAGTGTGTGCCACATATGACATCCAATCAAATGTTCTTGTAGTGTTGTTCATCATCAATCTTTATTTTTATTAAACAATATTGATAAGGTTCCGACTTGCCACAATGAACATAGTGCAGAGATGGGTTCTGGGAGACATTATTCTAATATTTGCTAGCCCTTTTGAGACATAGAAAATGCATAAATCTGAACTGTTTCATACTCGTCATCCGTAATGTCAGAATTCATGGTAGATTGATTTCTCATTGGAGGTTACTGGAAATTTTTACTACAACAGTATATCTACGAAAAATGAACTCAACTCTGCTGCATGGGGGAGTGTGTTTTACCTTTTATAATGTTATCTGACACTTCTCTAAATATGCAGGACTAGCTGCATATCTATATACAACAAATATATCACGTCTATGGCGTGTGTCAGAAGCCCTTGAATATGGAATTGTTTCTGCAAACGAAGGACTATTTTCTACTGAGGTATGAATTCGCTATTATTCTTTCTTGAATGCTTCATGATGTGGTTAGTTGGTTAGTTAACTGTCCTGCATGAAGAACAAAAATCTGTACTTACCCAAAAAAAAGAACAAATATCTGTTACAAATATATACTACCATTTATATTTATGTCATTGGTAGTTGTAATTGATCAATTTCACTTATCCATTGAATCCAATAACTAGTACTTTAGCTTTGAAGTTCATACAGGCCCAATGATTTCTGTGTGTCTGTATTGAGCATTTCATTGACTAAAGGTTTCCTAGAATAAGTTGTGATTAGGATATCTGAGGTGTTACGGGGGCCAAGTTAATCAAATTGAATCTGTTTTACTGAAATCTGAAGAACATCAATTCTGTAGTTTTGACTAAACATATGACTGTTATCGGCTAGTTGATTCAAGCATCCTTTCTTAACCATGCTCCATTGAGTATTTAGGAAGGTCAAATCCTTTTTTGTTAAATCCAAACATATGAAGTCCTTGGAATATTTTCTTTAATGCAAGCTCCTGATGTGGGCTCAAACGATGTTAGTTTTCTGGTCATTTCTTATAACAGGTTCCCTTTGTGGAATACTTCTTAGTGGCACAATTGTCCAAATTCACTCAATATCTATCTCTTCTCATAGTCTTTCAGGACAGGATCATCGCTAGCTTTATTTCAAGAGTAATCTAACAATGTCTCCATTATTTGGTAGATGAATGATAATGGCCCCAAGGTTCTTCATGTTTCTGATAGAAAATTATGTCATCATTTTCATTCTCATTAAGTAAACACCTACCTATTTATTTTTTGGATGAGAACCATGGATCTGTTTGTCTTGGCAGATTATTTTGAGAATCCACCAACCAACTAATCTGTAGTTCACATGACTCAGTTAATAGATGTCTATATTTTTCCTACTAGTGGTATTTCTGGGCCTTATTGTCACTCTTACTTTGTGGGTCTTTTGTCTTGAAAGACTGCTTTTTCCCTTATCTTACAGATAAATGTACTGTCCCACTTCTGGTAAATGAGGCCCCCTTCCAAAATATATATAGAACTACCCATAAGATTGAATGCATTACTGAAGTAAGGACATCATTATATTGTGATATAGGTTGCTCCATTTGGGGGATTCAAGGAGTCAGGCCTTGGGCGTGAAGGCTCCAAGTATGGAGTTGATGAGTATCTGGAAGTAAGTAGAGGTTTACATGAAATTGCAATTTTTTCTGTTGGAAAGTAAATCCATTGCTAACAATGACAAGCTTCAACATTGTGTGTCCAGATGAAATATCTATGCTTGGGAAACCTGAAAAGTGCTTGACCATGCGCTGATCTCCAATGAGTGGCATGTTCATATTTGTTCCTCTTTGATGCAAGGTATATTGCCATTGGATCATGAAACCTGCTATTTGATTGTTTACTTTTGGCCTTTTTTGTGTGAAAACCCAAAATTGTGCAAATTAACACAAAGAAGGGTGGATAAATTTGTCACCAACTATTGCCAAAACAACAAGTACTAACAAATATAATATCGATAGGAAGAAAATTCTGATTATTCTCTCTCTAAATTTCCTACATTTTGGATGCTTCCAGGAAAGTGAATGACAGAGGGCTAAACGGCAGGCAACCATCAAAGGCTATCAGCTACTGGACTCTTGTTTTTGCGAAAGAACTAGTTTTTTCTTATATTCTAGTCAATGCACTTTGGGATATAGTAATAATATAATTATCATAGAAATAACAATTACAACAATAATGAAAGAAAATGTTTTCTCCCAACAATGGAGAAATGCCTTTTGTGCAATATTACGAGAGCAGTAGACTGTTTTCACGACGTGTATATGTCAGAAACTATAGATCATCCAGGCCAGTGGGTTGCCCTCCTTAAAGTTTAATTAGGATAGGACCCAAAGGGGAATCATACTTTTATGGGCCTAATTTGAGGACCTAGAAGAAGATGGCCCTAGCATTGAACATTTTGGTTTTGGCTCTCATGCTACAGTTTGGGAGCCAACATACACATGAAATGACCATGAGAAATGGGGGGGAGGTGGGGCGGGGGAAAGGAAAATGAAAAAACCGACCGAGCTTTTGATTTAAGGCTGACCACAGGTAGCAGTCATGCACTCCTGGCTAATGCTACCTGTATTTTTTAATCGTATCCAATCCAACCAGTTTTTGGATATAATGAGTAATATTTAGGTGATGGCCATCCGACTTGGATGGATGATGGTGAATGCAAGCCGTCCAACAAAGTTGGATGGGGTTGTGTGGATATGCCGGCATATGCCCACATAGAAACCGCATCCTACCTTGCTTACCACCTTTGTCGGAACTTGTTGCACTAAGTTTCTCTACTTGGCATGCGGCCAAACCTCCGTCCCTGTAATTTGGCAAACAAGCAGCGCCGACATGTGCATATCAGCCTTGCACCAAACCCTTAATTATGCATGTAAAGTTCTGCTATTTGAATTAGGGAAAAGTTTATATAGAGCCTAGACTCTTAACAATCAAACTAGAGCCTACTTCAAATTATTCATTAGAATAGGTCATTTTAATGTTTGAATATCATCAAATTGATCATCTCGACATCAAGATACATGGATATGAGAAAAAAATGAATTTCAAGTTTTGAAAATAGGGCATCTTGAAACATATTTTTTGACTGTCAATTTTCAAAATTTTGAAGTTTTCATAGATCTAATCGGTCTACACTATTTTTGAAGCTTTAAATGTTATAACTAAAGATGAAAATATAATTTAAGGCTATCCCAAAACTTTTCGGTATTAAAACCATATTTCTCGATACTATTTGAAGGTAGGCTCAAGATTGATTAGTGCCTCAGCTCTATACAAACCGCAACCTTTGAATCATCCATCACTAAAATGCAACCTTAGAATACTTGTTCATATGTTGGCTGTTGCTTGCTAGCCAATAACAAGTTTGTG